GTACCTGTTGGCCCCTGCCTGGACCACTCCTGCACTAGGAGAGGGGCTCACGACCTCCTTTGGCAGCACCTCTCCTTCCTCCGTGTGGAGCCCGGCTCTCGTGCTGAGTGAGCAGCGTACCCAGTTCCCAGGAAGGTCCCCAGAAGTTGGCTTTTCTGTTCAACAGCTTCCAGCTGACTGCCCATCCTCCTGCTCCATCCACCAGGAACTCATTTTGCTCACATTTCAACAGTGCACATGGGAGCATTTGTCTTGATGGCCTCTGAGATCATTCTGGCCCCCGAGTCTCCAATGTGGTTTCCCTGGAGACTAGAAGAGATGGATTAAAGCAGGGCTGGAAGCCTGCAGGTTCTCTTTAGTAGAGCAGATCATCACGACAGAAAATGCAGTTTGTGCTTCTAGGATTCCTGCCATGGACAAGGCTCAAGATGGCTCCCCTTAGACCAGGTTTCCCTGTAGGGCTTTTGAGGGGTCTGGGGGTCAGCTGGCTTTCAGACCTGGGCAAATGCCAGGGTGTGACCTGGAAGCAGTTCTAAGGGCGAGCAGGAAGGGCAGGTGCACTCACTTGATATGCTGGAGCCTGTGGTTTCCAGACAGTGCTGTGGCAACGAATATTGCCCCATCCATCCCCAGGGAATTCTCTTGAAGACTAGGCAGAGAAAAGATGGAGCCACCATGGTGAGCCATTGGGGCAGAAGGAAACACCCAGGAAAGCAACACTGCATTGTCTGGCGGCAGTAACCTAGGCTGATGTGTCCACAAGTGCCATGGCAACTGTAGATGGCAGCTGACCTTGGAGACAGGTGTCTACGCATGGTCAGGTCGTCCCACCCTAGTGCCATAGAGGATGCAACACCATAAATGCAGATGGGAGTGACTTCTGACTTAAGCTGAGCAGACTAAAACCCAACTGCAGGGGAATGTGGACTATATTAATAAGTCTGATTATTTATATTCAGAAGGAAGTAGCTGCAGAGGAAATTGGGAGCATTTTATCCCACCGGGGAGGACCCAGCAGAGACTCTGCTGTTCCAGGATGCAGGTAGGTCCCTCCAGCCACTTACTTGAGTCTCCGGAGACTGGAGTTTACCTTCAGAGCATTCGCCAGGGCTTTGGCTCCAGCCACCCCGATGGCATTTCCTCTTAAGCTGTCGGGAAAGACGGGAAGCCTAAGGCATGGGTACAGGGTGAGAGGTGATCCTGAACCCTCTTCAGGTGGGCTTGGGGCTACTTGGTAGAGGAAACAAGGACTTCAGCAGTCACAGAAGGCCAGGGCTATGCCTTCCTCACTCCGGGGCAACAGGGCAGAGCTGGCTCTGGGAAGCAGGGCACATAGGAAGGGGCGTGGCTGGCCCATCCAGGTGGGTTGTTGAAGCCTTCCTCCTCTTCCATACCAAACAGAAAATCGAGGTTGAGACAGGAGAGGCAGCCCTTCATTCCGGGCAGATCCCCAGTGCCCACAGCAAGGGCAGGGATTCTGAGGACGCCCCTGAGCCTCAGAGCTGTAGCCTTGTCTCAGGATTTTGGATCTGCTCATAGAACAAGACCAGCCACCCCAGGACCCATAAACCAGGCCTCTAGACGTGTCCAGCCTGGCAAGGCCAACCTGGAGAGGAGGGCAAACGATAGCAACTCCCAGGGAAAAGCATGAAGTGGGGCTGGGAAGCTGGCACACTTGCCTTGAAATGAAGGTCACTAGGATGATTTGCGAGTTGCCTGTAAACTTTGTCCCCATATCTATTCATTGAGATTTCACTGATTTCTTTTGGTTTAAAGACCATAGTTGGAGAGTAGAATACTTACTCGAGAATCTCCAAGGTTCTGTTCACAGCCAGGGCTTCCCCTAGCACCTGGGCACCTGGCGCACCAATGGATGCCACCTGGAGACTGGGCCGGGGAGGGTGCCGTCAGTGTGAGCCAGCTGGGCCCCCTTCCCTTTCACCACCCCTTGACTCAGGGCAGAAAGTGGAGAAACAGTACTGAGAATGGCTGGCCAGCGCTCTGTCTAGGCACTCCGTCTCTTACCTACACTGTCTGTTGCCTAAGACAGAGATCTGGATGTGAAAGAGATGAGAAATAGAGGCTCTCCCTGGAAGTGCTCGGGGAGACTGCTCCCTGCACCCCCTCATTACTATCATCTAGGTGTTTGAATTGCTAATAGAATATTTTCTATAATAGGAAAATCAAACATACCTTCCTTGACTTATAAACAAAAATAACGTCTGGGCCGGGCACAGTGGCTCACGGCTGTAATCCCAGCCTTTTGGGAGGCTGAGGGGGGCAGATAACCTGAAGTCAGCAGTTTGAGATCATCCTGGCCAACATGGTGAAACCCCGTTGCTACTAAAAATACAAAAATTAGGCTGAGTGTGGTGGTGCATTCCTGTAATCCCAGCTACTTGGGGGTAGCGGAGGCTGGAGAATCACTTGAACCCAGGAGGCGGAGGTTACAGCTGGCCAAGACTGCGCCACTGCACTCCAGCCTGGGTGGCAAAGCAAGACTCTGTCTTGGAAAAAAACAAACCAAAAAGACATCTAACATGAAAGGATTGTGAAGGGGCCAGGCTTCCTGGCTGCCACACACATCTAGGACTTACTAGAGAGCGGTGAGGGCTGTGTTGACCTTCAGCGCACGGGCCACCGCACACACTCCGTCATCCCCGATGTCGTTCTCCTGTAAACTGAACACAGAATGTGACCCCTTCAAGTGTATGGGGCATAGGGAGCATTCTAGCAAGGGCCTGCCCCACTTGGACCTGCCAGGTTTGACAGACTACACACACCATAGACATAGACTCCCAGCGTTTCCCTGGGGATAACTACCCTTCCTCCACAGCACACAGAGGTGTCTGTGGCCTGCCTTGAGCCTGAACGGCCAGGGGCAAGCAGGAAATAGGACACAAGGAGTGACTGTCGACAGGAGCTTGGGACACAAAAGGGGATGTTTTTCATGGCTAACCACAAAACGAATTTAAAGCCCTCAATCCCGGAGCTGTTCTTTGTTTTGTTTTCTCTTGAGACAGGGTCTCACTCTGCCACTCAGGCTGGAATGCAGCCTCAACCTCCCCGACTCACGTGATCCTCCCACCTCAGCCTTCTGAGAAGGCTGGAATACTTACTAGAGACTGGGACTACAAGCACAGGCCACTGTGTCCAGCTAACTTTTTTTTTTTTTTTTTTTTGAGACAGTCTAGCTCTATTGTACAGGCTGGAGTGCAGTGGCACAATCTCGGCTGCCTGCAACCTCTGCCACCCGGTTTTAAGCCATTCTCTGCCTCAGCCTCCCGAGTAGCTGGGATTACAGGCCCCCGCCACCATGCCTGGCTAATTTTTTGTCCTGTAGTAGAGACGGGGTTTCACCATCTTGGCCAGGCTTGTCTTGAACTCCTGACCTCGTGAGCCACCCACCTCAGCCTCCCAAAGTGCTGGCGTGAGCCACCGCACCTGGCCCCAGCTAATGTTTTTATTCTTTGATAGAGATGAGGTCTCATTATGTTGCCCACGCTGGTCTTGAACTCCTGGGCTCAAGCAATCCTACGTCGGCATCCCAAATTGCTGGGATTACAACCGTGAGCCACCACGCCCGATCTCCTTGGCCATTCTTGCTAATTAGGGTTTTATGTCATTTTTTCCCTTCTAAATTGGAGGAAAATAGCAGGCCCTGGAGCTCAAGTGCATGTTAGTATATTTAAGGCTAAGAGCTGTTTTCATTCATTATTTTAACAGACATTTGAGTGTGGCAGGGTGTGGTGGCTCACGCCTTTAATCCCAGCACTTTGGGAGGCTGAGGTGGGTGGCTCACTTGAGGTCAGGAGTTTGAAACCAGCCTGGCCAACATGGTGAAACCCCATCTCTACTAAAAATTCTAAAATTAACCAGGAATGGTGGAGGGCGCCTGTAGTCCCAGCTACTAGGAAGGCTAAGGAAGAATAGCTTGAACCTAGGAGGTAGAGGTTGCAGTGAGCCAAGATCATGCCACTGCACTCCAGCCTGGGCAACAGAGTAAGACTGTCTCAAAAAAAAAAAAAAAAATATTTGAGTGTGTCTCGTGTGCTAGGTGTTGTGCAAGGCAGCAGGCCCAAGTCACTCTCTTGAAGTTCAGGTGGGAAGATGTGATTAAATGAGCAGTTACATCAGGCCAAGTGCAGGTTGCAGGGAAAACCCAAGCGGCGTCTCCCACCCCAGGGTGGTCACAGAAGGCTCCCCAGAAGAAATAGGTCAAAACCCAAAGTGGAGAGCAGGCCTGGCTCAGCTAAACAAATTGAATTCAGTTATTGGGGGAGTGAGAAACTAGCCCAGGGAGGGACAAAGAAGGAGATTTGAGTGGTCCCAGAAGCCACCCAGAGGGCCTATATGTACTTTACTCTGCAGGCCCTGGGCAGCCATTCAAGGTTGGCACCCAAGACGGGGACAGAGCTGTGTTCTGAAAAGGTCTCTGGCCAGAAGCGTGAGAGGATGGACTGAAGTGGAGGCTGCCACGGGGATGGAGGTGAGCAGTGCTGATGGCCTGGGTGGTTGCAGTGGAGCAGAGGGAGTCGGGTGGGTGGCAGGGACACAGAGGGGATCCAACAGGACTTAACAGTGAATAGGAAGCAGGAGGTGGCCAGACACAGTGGCTCACACCTGTAATCCCAGGTCTTTGGGAGGCCAAGATGGGAGGATTGCTTGAGCCCAGGAGTTCAAGACCAGCCTGGGCAGCATAGTAAGGCCCCATCTCTTAAAAAAAATTGTACATATTTTAAAAAATAAATTATAGGCCAGGTGCAGTGGCTCATGCCTGTAATTCCAGCACTTTGGGAGGCTGAGGCGGGAGGATCACTTAAAGATCAGGAGGTCTAGACCAGCCTGACCAACACAGTGAAACCCATCTCTACTAAAACACACGCACACACACAAATTAGCCAGGCATGGTGTTGGACATCTGTAATCCCAGCTACTTGGGAGGCTAAGGCAGGAGAATTGCTTGAACCCAGGAGGGAGAGGTTGCAGTGAGCTGAGATCACGCCATTGCACTCTAGTCAGGGCGACAGAACGAGACTCTATCTCAAAAATAAAATAATAAAAATGATAGGAAAGGAGGTGGGAGGTGAGAGTGAAGGCATTTCTAGCTTGCATAGTTGGTTCCATTCATGAGATGGGGAACCAAGAAGCAGGTTTTTGGGAGAGAGAATGTAGGGAACCTGCACCCCTGCGAAACCCTGAGTGGAGGTGCTGTGGGAGTGTGGAAGCTCAGGTCCAGGACTCAGGAGAGAAGTGAGACCCCAAAGGGGACTTGGGGAAGAGGTGTGGACGTGCATGTCTGGGGCTCAGGAGAGAGGTGAGACCCTGAGGGGAGGTGCAGAGGGGGTGTGGATGTGCAGGTCCACGGCTCAGGAGAGAGGCCTGGGACACAGATATGAGAGTCGTTGGGACTTTGAAGGTCACTGGAGCCCTCGGAGAGGAGAGCTCCCAGAAGAGAGACGTCAGGCAAGGGAAGATGACATAGGACAGATCCCTGAGGAGGACTGTGCTGAAGAGGTAAGCAGAAGAAAGGAGGGCAAGGCCCAGCCAGAGAGGACATCCTGGAAGCTGAAGGAGAAGAAATGCTCAAGGAGAAAGGCCGATGAGGCTCCAAGGTTTAAACCTAGAGTTCCTACACGCCCCAGCGATTCCACTCCCGGGTATATCCACCCAGGAGTAGGAAAGCTCATGTCCACACAGAAACTGGAGCCCCAATGTCCACAGCAGCACTGTTCCTAACAGCTACGGAGGAACAACCCAATGTCCAGCAACTGATGAACGAAGAAATTACAGCTGTCTACCCATACAGTGGGTATCATTCAGCCTTACAAAGGAAGGACATACTGACACAGGCTACATCATGGATGAACCTTGAAAATCTGACACCAGATGAAAGACACCAGCCACAAAAGGCTACGTGTTGTGGGATTCCATTTTTGGCCACATGTTACACAATTTCATTTATATGAAATGTCCAGGGTGGGAAGATCATGGAGATGGTGGATTAGTGGTTGCCAGGGTTGGGGAAAAGGAGAATGGGTAGTGAGTGCTGATGGGGACAGGGGTTCTTTTTGGGGTGATAGAAATGTAAAATTGATTGTGATCGTTGCATCACGGAATACACCAGAAACCAGTGAATTATACACTAAGTGGGTGGATCTTCTGGCTTGAAGATTATATCTCACAGCTGTCGTATATATGTATATATGCACATATATATATATATATATATATTTGGAGATGGAGTCTTGCTCTGTCACCCAGGCTGGAGTGCTGTGACATGATCTCAGTTCACTGCAACCTGTGCCTCATGGGTTCTCCTGCCTCAGCCTCCCGAGTAGCTAGGATTGCAGGCATGCGCCACCACACCCGATTAATTTTTGTATTTTTAGTAGAGACAGGGTTTCGCCGTTTGGCCAGGCTCATCTTGAACTCCTGACCAGGTGATCCACCTGCCTCAGCCTCCCAAAGTGCTGGGATTACAGGCGTGAGCCTCCATCCCCAGCTAATGTATTTAAAAGGCAGGTGGATCAAGGACTGAAATGTGCCCGCTGGCCTTAGGGAAGAGGAGGCTGTGTGCCAAGCGTTACTGAATTGAGCCTCTGCCTGGTGGGCACCAAGTTTTCAGATTCCTCTGCCCCCCACAGCCCCTGGTCAGGCCAACTTACTCTAGGCTGGTGAGGCTCCTGTTGAGCTGTAATGCTTGTCCTAGTGCCTGGGCAGCGCCAGCCTGGATGAAGTTCCACTGCAGGCTGGACAGACACAGACACATGTGACTGCGTGGCTCTGGGGCAGAGCTAAGGGGGCTTTGATGGCGGGGTCGGAATCCCTGCAGGATGTGGCAGGAGAATTCCTGCAACCCCCACCCAGGCTTAGTCCCCAGAGGTTCACGTGTACTCCCTGGTTAGCCATGGTCAGAGGGCCGGGGACTAAGCAAGGAAAGACACTGCAAAATGGCCCCTGCATGAAACCCCATGGGCACCTGGAGGCCCGGCTGTGACTACCTCTTAACACGTGTCTGTCTGTGGATCAGGAGAACACAGGATGGGACACAGCCTGCTGGCAGCAGGGCAGCCCCCGAGACCTTTGCAGGGGGTGCCCCCAAACCAGGCTTGGCCTGTACATTGTTGTTTTGGGTGGAGCCCCTCAGCTCTGCAGAAGGGATACACAACAGGGTGGAAAGCTGCAGACTCACTGAAGGGAGGTGAGGGCGCGGTTTTCTCTCACTGCCACTGCAATGGCCTGGGCACCCTGGTCGTGGAGGAGGTTGGCTGTCAGGCTAGGAGGAAAGGAACAGGAGCAAGTGAGCCAAGGGGGCTGACTGTGAAGCCTCTGGTCCTTGGTCACCAGGGACTCTATGGCTTGATGCCAGGTCACACTGCCAGGACGTGGGGGAGCTTCCTGGGGATGCGCTGTCCAGTGGCATGGCCCCATCCTCATCCATCCCCACCAGGTGAGGCAGATGGTGTCACACCAGCCTCACCCTCGTGCCATTTACACTATGAGAGTGGGGGACTTGCCACCCGATGCCAGATTCCTGGCTGTGCCCTCCCCAGCCAGCTCTTTCTCCAACCCTGTGATGTGGCGAGGGTGCCCGTCAGCCCAGGGTCAGTGTGGGTGTGACCATGGAATGAACAGCCTTCAGAGGCACAGGCCCCCACCACGTACTCCAGGTTTTTCAGGGTGCTGTTGGCACGGAGGGCACGCGCGATGGCCTGGGCTCCCTCGGGACTGATGGAGTTTTCTCGAAGGCTGAAACAAAAGACCTGAGCTTCTAATCGGGCAGAGGAGGCATCTGGCAGAGCCAAGCCCAGGTGTTTAGGCTTCTCAAAGCCCAAGACACCGCAGGTGGGGGACGTAGGGTTCTGTACAGTCTAGGCTGAGGTCTGAAGGAGTCGATGCCAGCTAACCAGTGCTGGGCCAGCCAGGCGCCCCTGCTGTAGGACCATCTACAGTACAGGGAGTGGACAGGACAACAGGGCCCCAGAGGTACAAGGGGACAGGGGGCTGAGCCTGTATCTGTGAAGAGAGTGGCAGAAAGAGCCACTGAGGGTAGCAGCTGTCCCCTGCACCCCAAGAGAGCAGGAAGAGGGCCAGGCTGCCAGGAAGGCTTCCTCAGCCATAGATTTCCCTGAGACAGGCTTCCCAGCACCAAGTCCCTGCAGACAGGCACCCAATCAAAGAAACACCCTGGTCAGAGAGGGCAGCCAGGACCTACCTGAGGCTGAGGAGGGCCTGGTTGGTGCAGAGGGCCCCCATCAGTGCTGTCACTCCCGTGTCACTGATGGAATTGCTCTGCAGGCTGTGGACGGAGGAGAAGGCGCCCTGGGTGTGGCCGTCCCAGGACCCAGAGGGAGCTGCCCTGTCCAGTCTGGGACAGGAGGCACTAGGTTCAACAGGGAGTTGGGGGCCCCAGGGACAGTGGTACCCACACTGCTCCTTTCCTCATCCCTCTTTACTCTCCCATCCCCCCCACCTTCTAGCCCCTGCCAGGTCAGGGCACGTGGGTTCAGCACAACAAGCCCCCAAATTCAAACCCTCCCTTGATGTGGCTGGACCCAGACAGCCTCGGAGCAGGGTGTGTTGGGTCTGCAGCCCCCAGAGGGAGTGGCACAGCAGGTTCCCCAAGTGTGGGTGCAGCACTGAGCTCTCCTGCCCCCCACCAAAGCTGCTGCAGCTGACTACCTCTCCAGCCACTTATGCTGGCTTCTCAAGTGCACTTGGAACTCATCATTCCAAACACTCGAGACCCTGCCCCAGCCCCCACTGTCTAGGGAAATGGAGTTGGTGGGGCAGGGGAGACTGAGGACAGTGTGTGCCCAGGGTTGGTGCTGACAGGGAAATGGCCCTGGAGGACAGCCATTTTTCAGGACTGCCAGCCTGCCATCTACTGAAAGGAGAATCCAGGGGGAATTGTCACCCTGGCAGGGGTCAGGTGGACTCACTCCAGGCTCTCCAGGCCCTGGTTCACCTTCAGGGCCTCAGCCAGGGCCTTGGCACCTCCATCACCAATACTATTACTGGAGAGCCTGCAAGAGAAGGGATATGGATGAGCCAACACCCGGGAACTGCCAGGCAGGGCTAGGTGGAGGGATCAGGGTCAGGGAAGCCCTCATGGGAGGGTTGGCCCTGTTGTCTCTAGGGTGGCCAGTGCAGTTTGTTCTGCCTGAGGCCTGTTGGCTGTAGTCTCTGCAGGTGAACCACCTGTTGCCTGTAAAACATCAGAGTAGCAAAGTCCTCCCTGACTCCCTGGCAAGGAGGGTCAGCCCTTTAGTGATAAGTATTTTGGGGACTTTTTGTGAATATGGTGAGGAAATGTTTTCTTCTACCTTCTCAGGTTCACCCAATCCTGGGAATCTCCATTCTCCTGAGCTTAGTGCTTTTGGAGTCCAAAGCCAGCTAACCAGTACCCACACGTCCATCCATCCACTCACCCATCAGTTTATCCATTCACCCACCCACTCATTTATAAATCCATCTATCCATTCTTCGAGTCATTTATCCATATAGCCCCCTACCCACCCACGCACTTACCCATTCATCCTCTCATCTACCCATCCACTCATCAGTCCACTCACCTATCAGTTTGTTTATCCATCCACTCATCTACCCATCCATCCATTTGTCCATCTGTCTGTCCACTCACCCATTCATCCACTCATTCAGCCATGTGTCCATCCACTTATCTACCCACACATCCATTTATCCATCCATTCACCCACCCACCCATTCATCCACTCATTCATTCAACCATTCATCTATCCACTCACCTGTTGATCCATCCACTCATCCATTTATCCATCCATTCACCCACCCATCCATCCATCCATCCACCCATTCAGCCATCCATTTATCCACTCATCTACCCATTCATCCATTCATTCACATACCCACCCATCCATCCCTCCATCCATCCACTCACTCATTCATCTACTCATTCGTTCACCCATCCATTCATCCGTTCATCAGTCCACTCACCCATCAACTCATCCATTCATCCACTTATCCATCCATCCATCCATCCTTCCACTCATCCATCCATCCATTCAACCATCCACCCATCTATCCATCCATCCATTAATTAAACCATCTATCCATTCATCCATCCATCCACTCACCCATTCATTCATTCACACACCCTCTTATCCACCTACCCACCCATCCATCCATCCACCCACTCATCCATTTATACATTCATCCATCCATCCATCTACCCACTCATCCATCCATCTACCCACCCATCCATCCATTCACCCATCCATCAATCCACTCACCCATCAGTTCATTTATCCATCCACTCATCTACCCACCCATCCATCCATTTGCCCATCTACAGTCCATACATTCATCCATCTATCTATCCATTCACTCAGCCATTCATCCACTCATTCATTCAACCATCCATCTATCTATCCATTCACCCATCCATCAAGCCACTCATCCATCCATCTACTCATCCATTTATCCATTCTGTCACCCATCCACCTGCCTACCCATCCACCCCTACCCACCCATCCATCCATTCACCCACCCATACATCCACTTTACATCCATCCATCTATCTATCCACTTATCCATCCATCAGCTCATCAGTTTATCCATTCATTCACCTATTCACCCTTCCATCTATTCATCCACCTATCCATCAGTCCATTTACCCACCCACCCATCCATTTATTTAACAATCCATCCATCCATTCATCCATCCACTCCCAGGCTCAAAAATATTTGTGCTGGGTCAGGCATTGTGCTGGGCACTGAGTGTGGCCCTTTTATATGTCTCACATGAGCTCCTTCAGACTCCTATTCTGCTTCAAGGCATCTGCCATCCACTGGGCTCCTGTGGGCCCAATGCCATTCTTCTGCAGGCTGTGGGAGAAGAGAGCGATCTTTCAGGAAGGCTGGTCACAGCCATTCCCAGCCCAAGGACAGTTCAGGTTCAAGGTCAGGGACAACTAGGGTGCCCTCTTCATTTACTGCAGCAGGTTGGAGGGGGTGTCTCTAGAAGGGTCTTTGGACTGTTGCCTAAGTGATGATAATAGACCGACATTACGATGTGAGAGAGTAAGGGGTCAGGGCAGCTGGGCCTCCCTTGCAAGGGGCTAGAAAGCAGAGATCAGCAGGTGCTGATAATGCCCACCAACCTCCTGAGT